TGCCCAGGGAGGCTGTGGAGTCTCCTTCTCTGGAGATATTCCAGCCCCTCCTGGACGCGGTGCTGTGCAGCCTGCTCTGGGTGACCCTGCTTGGGCAGGGGGTTGGGCTGGGTGACCCACAGAGGTCCCTTCCAACCCCCACCATGCTGGGATTCTGTGATTCTGTGATTCTGTATGTAACGGGAATATTGACAGAAGCATATGGGAATGGTGGGAAAGTCATTCCAGCGTGATGTTTTGTAGTTCACTTCACAATTAGTCACTCTCGTACCAAATCAGATTCCCAGCACGCGTCACTCGCTGCGGTCTCCGAGCCCGGCAAACGCTTGCTGAAGGCCTCGTGGCTCGGCCGCAGGAGCACTGCCCTGACGCCAGCACAGCCTGCAGACCTCCTGTGCTACCAACGAAGCCTCTCGCTTTCTCTCACCCGAAGAATGGCGCAGGGGGGTCAGCGCTGGGTTTCGACGCGCAGCCGGGGAGGACCAGGCGCCCAGAAGCCCACCCATGGGCACGCTTCCCCTACCTGCCCACTGTGCGGTGCTGGGGACGCGCTCCCTCTCCCCCAGCGAAAGTCTGCTGCACAAAAAAAAACCCTCACGAAGCAAAACAAAAGAAAACAAAACAAAACAAAAGAAAACAAAACAAAACAAAAGAAAACAAAATAAAATAAAACAAAACAAAATAAAACAAAACAAAACAAAACAAAACAAAACAAAACTTCACCAGAAAAAAAAAAAAACACCGAAACCCAACCCCGATCTTTCTAGCAAAAGAATTTGTTTAGAAGTAAACAGTGGTTAAACACATCCAAAAGCATATTCAAAACATTTCTTAACTTGTCTGTCAACGAAGAGCGTGGATTCAGCCAGATTGCTACTGGATAAGCACAGAGTTTGCCAGAGAGAAGTTGGCGTCATAGCTGGCATCCTTCAGGGGAGCGGCGCGATTCCCATCCCCGGAGGATCCTACCCGCTCTACTCTCGAAGATGCTGCAGAATTAAACA